CTCGTTGCATTTCTCCATCCCTCTGGTGTCCTTGAACTTGTTATACCCTCCGCCTACCGGATTTCTAAACCTGGCATCATCCCCCTCATGATCTCGTCCGCTCTGCGGCCTCGGAAGTCCTGTCCCTGCATACCCTCCGGCATCACATCCCCTTCTATCAGTGGAACACAGCATGCACACGTCATCATGGTACTCATAACAATTACCACACACTTCTCTTCCGCAGCCATGGCATGCAATCATCATTTCTGCTTGTCTAACACATACAGGGCACCTTCTAATTCTAGTCTCTTCCCCCAACAGACCTCCATCTCCTTGTCTATCCTTTCTTCCATGCTCTCTTCTATCCCCAAACGAACTTGGCGCAGGCGTGGCACCGGCACTTGGTCTTGCGGAGCCAGCGTTCGAAGCACCTCCCGCAGCCGGCGCCGGCATAGCGTACTCGGAGCTCTGCTTGGCGATCTCACCGATTCTATTCCACATGCTATCCAGCTCTGCTTTAATGCTATCGTTTCGTTTCACCTGCTCCAGTCTCCGCTCATACTCTCGTACCGTTGCCTCCAACTGCTCGTTCTTCTCTTTGAGTTCAATCATTTCTCTACTACGAAGATCGAGATCCGCTCTCATTTTAGATACCTCATCTCTATTATCCCGGATCATCCGCGCTACCGATTCTGTCACTCCTTTGTTCTCCCCCTTCATGCTTTCTATCTCACTGGTCAGGCTAGCGTTCTCCCTCACGATCCGCTCATTCACAGTGGTCAACCCCTGCAATTGACTAGTGATCTTGGTCACCTGCTGTTCTAACACAATGCATCTACTCTCAATCCTTCGATCTATCACAGGACCTGCCAACTCCGGCCTCGAAGCCTCTATCCCTCGGGCGTTGTCGCTCCTGGCTCTTCCGTCGGCTCCCCCACTCCCACCGTGACTATCTCGTCCGCGTGACATGGTCGGTGGCTTTCCTATCTCTGCGCTGTTTCCTCGCATCTTACCTACCCCTTCGTTCCGTGCGCTCTCATCAATTCGAGCATTGACAAGGATAAATTCGCCCGTGACTCTCTTCTGCTCATCTATCATACGGCTCGACATTGATTCCATTGTCTTTTCCATCTTTCGCACGGTATCCTTTACCCAGGCCTGTTCTCCGTTTCTCTTCTCATCCATCCGATCGGTCCTTGCAGCGACATTCTCGCAATTCTTGTGAACCTTTGTCATGTTCGCCACAATCTCAGCCACGCTTTTGCGGTTCTTTATCACCTCTCTCGCGACGGTCATTATGTGTTCCTTCTGTGCCAGAACCACTTCACTCAGCTTCTTGGTTTCGCCCCGCACTGCCCCATCTATGCACGTGCCGTGACCCTCGCCAGGTTCTCTGCATCCGCATCCAGAACCTTTTCCTTGGCTGTTGCAATGTGACGACGATGCCGTATCTGTTCCGGCTTTCTGGCTCCCCTTGGACTTCAGCTTCCTTAGTTCCTCGCCCGCTATCTTGATCTGGTCCCACTGTCTATTCAAAACCGTCTCTACTTTATCCAGTCTCTCGTTCTTCCATGTTCCATTCTCGTGTCGCATTTGCATACTCGAGAAGACTACGCCTATGCCACGTCTCACCTCATTCAATCCTGTTTCTAACGTGGTGATCTTCGTCCCGGTACTCTGTTTGGCTATGTCTGCTGAATGCTCCGCTGTGGACAATCGCTCCTCCACTCCCTTCAATCTAGTCGTAACAGATGTCTTGAGCACCTTCACGTTTTCGACCTGCCGTCTCATTCTCCGTGCGAGCTGCATTGCTCCCTCGGTCAGTTGCGGAGCCATTGCATCATCCATCCTATCCTCGCTGACGCTCCCGTCCATGATCCGACTCATCTCTTTCAGCTCCTGCGACAGTGTTGTCTTGGTATCTATCTGCTGCGATTCTATCCAACCTTTCCAGTGCTTCACCTCCTCTTCGCGTTCCACCAATCTCTTGCTCACGACGTCCGCCTTTTCCGCTGAGCTATTAGCAATTGCACTTGCACATTCGCTTGCCACCTTAAGCTTGGCTACGTCGGTCTGCGTGTCCACAACCACCGTCTGCAAGTCATCTATCCTGCCATCTATCTCTCCCAACGACGACTTGTCCGGATCAGCAGGAGCTCTCATCTTTGCCCGCCTGGGTGGGGATGATGTTGCCCTCATCTCGTCGTTCCTGCCTCGTCCTTCAGGAGGAGTATCGATCCCGAAATGCTCGTACTGCCCACCTATCCCAGGAGATCGTGGAGCCGGGGATCGATTGCCCCATCCTTCGCTACCCTGATCCGGGGTGATCATTCCTGCCTGATGGATCGGTCCCCCAATTTCTGTCGACTTCGACTTCTTCGCTGCGGGGACGCTCTCGGCTATCTGGTTCATCTCCTTAACGGCCTGCTCCACTCGTTGCTTACGCAGTCCCTCATCCATCTTGCCTATCTTGCTGGTGGTACCAACTCCATTTTCCGATCCACCCGGGCTATCCCTCTTCAATGATGTAGATCGACCACCTGAGTGCCCACTATCCGACCCCATCGACATCTTTCGTGACCTGTCTTTCTCTACCCCTGCGATCTCGGCACCATATATCCCAGCATTCCACCGTTCCTGCGAATCCGATTGCATCGTCATGGGCGTTGATCCAGACTCTCCTGGCCCCTGATCTGTGAAGAACTTCGCAAAGTCCATGTCAGTGATGACCCCCGTTTCCTCGAGCGTACTCCGGATTCCATGGGATCCCCACTCTATTCCGATCGTCGTAGTCTGACCCATCCTCACATCCTTCAACGCTTCGACGTTCCCGCCTGGCGATGCCTCCGAGAGACCTGTAGATGAAAATACAGACAGTGCTCTATCATCGCTCCCACTGACCACGTTCTGCGCTACCGCTGACGATCCCTTAGCTATCAACTCCAGGTCCGTAGGATCGGCACCGACATTCCCAATCATGGTCGCACTATTCGAATACACTCCTGGAACGAGATCATCTCCATTCCCTCTGCTCATCCAATGTCCGCTATCCGCACTTCTCGTTCGATCGCCCTCCGCACCGAGCTCGCCACTGAGCATCATCGCATCTATTCCATCATCATTCCTCCTGATCGTCCTATCATGATCTGACGATGATGACACTGCAAGACTATCCACTCTGTCCTCGATCGCCATTTCTAACCCGGAACCAGTGATTCCCTTGGCACCTCCCGTTGACTCGTAATTCGTTCCGTGGGACACAGGCTCGGAGGGGATGACGAACGGTCCCTCTTCCATCCTTTCATCTATTCCAGCCAGATCCTCGATAGCAAGCGTCGGAGTCCTAGCGTTTCCCGCTTCTATCTCACCTCTTCCGGCCCTATACTCATTTAAATCTGTAGCTCCCATAACTGGATCAAACACTACAGGACGGCTTGCAAGCATGCTGAGCTGCATTACGGCATCCCCTCTATCTGCTATTGACGGGATTGCGAGCAACTCCTGCAATCCTTCGTCTGCGTCCCTCCCCTGAGTGCCCGACGTGTCCGCTATTCCGGCATAGCCCAGTCCTCCCGACCTCCCCACACTATCCATCGCCGCCACGATCTCCAAGTTTCTATCCGTCAGTCCTGGGGGTGGTCCTGACACTAATATATTATTCGCAGCACTCGACCTGATGTCTACAGTAAGCGGTCCTGAGAAACTGAGGCCGAGGCGATCTCTATTATCACTGCTATCCATCTCCATTCCCGTCCTTCCACTATTCCGTCCGTCGTCGATGAAGTTCACGTTCTCGGCGTCGGCTATGCTTCTCACATGACTATCGGTAGCCGCCACGTCCTGATTGACCGCAGTGACCTGGTCCTCGAGAAATCTATTCCCTACTCCCAACACATCACTATCGCTAGACTCACTGCTCCCAATGCTATCACGTGTGGACATTGCTGCAGTCAACGAACACAAGTGACAAATGCGGAAAACTTCGCTATGCAAGTGGTACCTCTTCGCTATACCAAGAAAACTTCTCGAACAGCTCGTCCAGGCCAAGCAACAAGGCTCTTAACCTGTGCGAAGTGTCCAAACCAATGAAAACTTGCGCAACCCGTTCCAGTAACTAGCTCAGGCCACACGAGGAGAAAGAAGTTGTATATTTACAGTTGTAGGTTGTAATGTTGCACCAGAAGTAACAGTATCCCTGTCAACGGGGAACTCAAGGTAGCTAGCCAATCGTTCCGAGCCACTCCCGACGTTAACTATCGGAAGGATCCCCAGAGTTGCTATCTCCAGGGGGTGGTAACCTATCGCTCTAGATGTATCCACTAGCCGTCCGGCTGCGTGTTGTACACCTATCCCGATATTCACCTGAACAGCCACCTGCCCTCAGTATCCTCCGGCCTCCGGCTATGAGTTGTAAAGAGAACAGATAACTATCCCGAGGTTAGGGAAAAGGATCTATTCCTCGTCAACGCCCGACCCTTTTGGCTCCTCTTTCCTCCGGATGCGAGTTGGCCAATCAGGTCCACGACGTACAGGAACACTATCCACGGGGGCGAAAACTGTACAATACAGGCTGCTACAGTACTAAGAAGGGCCCTTCTTGAGCAGCTTACAGCTGCGATCGAACATGGGATCATCATTCTATCCACGCTCGGCCACGATGAAGTCGGCAAACTATCCATGATCCACATTCGAGAAGGGGTCCAAACCCGAAATACATGTACACGTCAAATCACCATCCCGTGGAATCAACCTGACCTCTTTGTGCTAAACACCCTAGAGACCCAAAACTTGTATTGCCCTATAGGCCCCATAAGCCAGCGCGCTTAACCCTGCGTGGCCTCTAAACCCTGTAAACCCTTTAAGTCTTAAAATGCCTTGCGTCACCCTAAGCCCTACAAGCCCAGGAAAACCTCATAACCCTACAAAAACCCTTTAAACCACATTACTCTGAACCCTAAATCCCTCACAATCCTCACACACCCAGCCATACCCCCGAGTCCTTAAACCCCTCCTGTCAGGACTCCGAAGGCTACTCATGCGCACAGCCCCTTGGCTCGAATTGTCGTCTTGTTAAAGGGGTTTCTGGCTCCGCCCAAATTTGTGGGGGGGGGGGGGGGGGGGGCTCTTTATCAAAGGCGGTGCACCATCAGGGGTTCTGATTCTGCCCAGCACAGGTATGCCACGAACAGGTGGTGCACGTCGGACGGTAACTTGGGCTCTGGATGGTCACCGGCCTGGAACGCACCCTGGCTCTGTGTTAGGTTTAGGGATTACAGTGAAAGGGGGTCCTCCTCCCATAATCTCCTAGAATACCTAAAGCCCAATAGTCTTAAAAGGGCCATCAACCCTAAACACCCCAGAACGCCCCGAAGCCCTGAGAGCCCAACAATGCCCTTGCGCTACATTCAACGCCTCCACGCCCTGAGCCCAAGCCGGATTCTCCCGCAGAGCCCCTACATGTTCCGGTTTCCTTGATCAGATCAGCGTTGGCCTGTCTTTGGACATCTTTTGTGGTGATTGTAGTTCTATGAAGAAGGGCATGATAGAGACCATCTTTGACAAAGGGTTTTTCAAAACAGTGAGCAGAAGAAGGGTGCATTGAGATGTACTTCCAGTTGAGACATTACTCTGTAGGATCCGAGAACTCTGTCTATACCGATCTGCTGGTGTATGCAAGGTATATGTGGACGCCCAGAGATGGATGCATGCATGGGTGCATGTATTTGGGATGCATGAGGTTAGGGGCAGTCAGGGGATCAGGGGCATCGGGTTCCTGTTCTGGGGTGCTTCGCAGTTTTTGGAGCCTGTGGGATCTTGGGGAGCAAGTGGTAAGCTCGAGGGCGAGATCACCTCGATTCTGAGGTGCCGGAGATGTACTGGCACGATGGGCTCCTAACTCAGCGGGTGGTTCCGGTGGCGTTGGTTTTATGCGAAATTTCTTGAGTTTGGAGTGGTCGAGTTGAGAGTTTTCTCACAGGCATTCAAGGCCCAAGCTCTAAAAACCTATGGAGGGCTGGATTGTATAGGGCCTTTGTGTTGATGATCTATTTCTGGACACCTCAGACGTTACTTCACCATGAGAAGCCCCTGCCTCCATCACACAGCAGAAGCTGCAAGCCGGAAGCCCTCAACCCGAGAATCTTGTCTAACTCGGGGGCGCTGGATCAAGCCGACGATGCCTTAGGCATTCTGGCATCAGCGCGTGCTGTGCCTGCGGAGGCGGCCAGGTCGGCCACATTGTCGGTCGCTAGTCCGAGCTCGCTAGGACCGTTTAAGGCTCGGGGTGGTAGAGATTTTTCGTCTTGGCTTTGTGAGGTTTACAGTTGCCGCATGGAGCTTTGGTTCAGGTTTGTTAGGGTGTCGGGTGAAGATTTGAGGGTTGAGCCCTGCCCAAACCCAGGCTTTTTCCCAGCCGTATCGCGTGCCTGAAGTTGCTAGCTCCTAAGGTTTTAGGCTGTCCTACACCCGAGTCTCCCGGCAGTTGACGACGATGCCTGAAAGCAATTTAACCCTAGCCCTTAAACCCTTGAAACACAAACCCGAAAAGCCAATCGAACCTGTCCAGCGAAGGCATGTGGGAGCTGGTCAGAGGTCCTTGCACAATTGAGGACGACTCTCGGTAGCCGAAGAAGCTCAACCTTTTTGTACATGTCTCGTGTTTAGGGTTTTTGTGTTACAGGCACAGCCCACATTGCGCAGAATCTGATTCTTGGATTGGGCAAGTAAGGACTGCATCCTGAGCCCGAACTACCCGGGAAACTACTCGGACAATCAGACGCTGAGCGGCCTTTTGCGGGGGTCGTGGGCTTCGAGTCCCAAGTCGATGCGTATAGGCATCCATTGGGGTACCAGTTTTAAAACTCCCTTTTTCCTAGGTAGGATAAGGGGGACCCTTAAAAGAGGGTCCATCTCCCCAAGGGTCCCCCTAATCCTATCCCCTACTTTTAAACAGCTGGTAGAGTAACACAGCCCTAAGCAGGGTCTCTGGGCATCGCGCTTGGGAGAGTTTTGAGCAGCTAAACCGTAAACCCGAACACCACAGGTCCGAACCAACAGCGAGAAGCCTGATTCATAAATTTCACACCCCTGAAGCCCTATGACTTCGGTGCGGAGTAGATGGCCTTTTGCCGAACAGAGAGCTACCAACCTGCTTTCAGCCTCCCGACGCAAATAATTTGCCCCCAAGAAATCTCCGCCAGTAAGAGAATAGGTTTACCGTTTCGGGTTCGGGGATTAGGGCATTATATGGTCTTGAGCAGAAACCTTGCAAGCAAGGCGATGCACGATCCTTGTGAACGGCACGCTTGCCAAGCCCTTGAAGACCGTCCACTGGGACGTGGAGACTGTTTTTGTTTGTCGTTTCTGCCTGAAGGGTTTCCGACTTAAGGGCATGGGATTTGCGAGTCTTAGACAGCTGGGTGCCGCATTGGTCCCTTAACGTCGTCGACACTTACCAGCCGAAGGGCCATATAGCAGAAACATCAGAGTCACACGGACTGTCTGGAACCTTGGCGAGCGGACAGGGACAGGTAGAAGGGTTGCGCAGGGTCAAGGACCTGAGGACCCAGGCGAATGGTTAGGGCTTGGGGTTGCTCAGGGTGTGCGATTTAGGGTCTGAGGGGGGTTTTGGTGGTAATCAGGGACACCCAGTGGTGTGACCGTGGTGGTGTTTATCCTTGTTGTTCAGGGTTTCTTTCATTAAAGCCCAAATGTGTACACCTGTTGTCTGTCACTCCCCCTTCCTGTGGAGGAGTACTGGTTCGACTACTTGCACATCAACGGCCAGCCATCTGAGTGCATTCAGAAACCCTAAACCCTGCGAGCCTAGGGTTGAGCTCAGGTCTCGTCGGAAAAGTCAGACCTTTGCTTCAGGTACTGCTGTTTCCTAATTGAGCACCCGGTCCCTCGCGCTTCGCCTTGAATGTGCCCTACCACTTCTGCCTAAAGCCTTAGACCCCCGGAGCCCCGAACCCACCGCTCCCCCCTCCTTATAAAAAAAAAGAGGAACAGCCGCCTAATTATACCTCTCAGCAACAAACCCTTTCAACCCATACCCTCAATGTATCAGCCCCTGAAAGTGGGGGGGGGGGGGGAGCAGAGCTTAGCTCCCGAAATCCCTTAGGGTCATGGGACTCCACCTTGGACCCTTAAGGTTGCACCCTAAGTTTTTGGGACCCTTTTTTGAAGATCCCCAAGGCGGTATAAGGGCGACCTTTAAGGGGTACAGCTCCATGGGTACGAGCCTTAATTTTCTTGATAGGGCCCCCAGGCCTGAGCTCCCCGATACTTGAGACCCATGTTTAGGGTTTAGGGTTTATACCCTACTACAACCTTACCTCCCCTATTTTTGCGTCACTGCAGCTGAGTTTCTACAGTGGCCCAAGCAACCCACAGGGCGTGGTGCCATCTGGCTCAATCCAGTGGAACTCGGATGAGGAGCACGAAAGGTTAATAGGGTTTTGGGACACGTGTTGATGTCCGGAAGCGTGCACTTGGAGAAGTTTGCTTTCAAGGATTTGTTGCGCAAATGACTTGCACTTGGAAACCCTAAACCCCAGACCCTTAAACCTAAATCCGTGGGAATTACTTTTATTTTTGTTTATATAAAACCCAAGAGGACTTTTAAACATATTTTTATTAAGGTTCTAAGGGGAGTATAGATGAAAGCAGGACACCAACGGCACTGGCTGGAAGCTTTGCGCAAGCGACGAGATACCTGCGATAAACAACACTGCGACCACTGCGGCGGCAACCACGGCACCTTGGTTGCAAGCAGACCTCGAAGGAACAGGCAGGTTCATGAAAGGTTAAAATTGAGGTTGTATGTTGGATGATTGTTATACCAAGACACAGTCGCATAGTATCTTCTGTGAGGCACTTCGAATCTGCAACCATACATAAACCTATTCGCGGACCTTCAGAGAACGAATCATGTCAAGGGAGGCGTATAGTTACCCTACAAAACCAAAGTTCCTCTTTGAAGCAAGCTCGAAATCCCAAAAGCCTTACACCCAGAGCCCAAGGTCCTAAGCCCTAAGCAGCTTAAAGAATCTCAGCACAAAGCCTTAGAACGCAAGCCTTCAGCACCAACGCTCCTTCGAGCCAGTGCCCTGCATCCATTCATAGCATGTCTCGCTTAAGTCCCTATAAACCCTGGGAAAAGAGTACGGGATCCTAAACCCTGAGTCGGACCAGGGGGGAGGGGGGGGTCTAGGAGGGCATCCTATGACTTTCATGGAAGGCGCCCACAACGACCGTGTCGGTTGCAGACTCGACGGCGGCGCCAACTGCGGCGCCAACTGCGGCGCCAACGGCGGCGCCAACGGCGGCGCCATGGGCCCTTATGATTGGAACCCATGGGGTCAGTTCTGTGGATTAGGAGACCCTAACGTTTTAAAGGTTACCGTCACAGAAGTTGCCATATGTGTAGAAAATATTATAGATTTGACATATTCATATATAGACATATAACGTGTAGACAGCCCCTTGAACCCCAACCCATGCCCTCGGCCCTGAGCTCTGCTCAAATTTGGGGTCAAAGGCCTACCCCCCCCCCCCCAAAGCCCTGAAGCCCTCCAAGCCCAAAGCCCTGCATCCAATCAAGTTTAAAACCCTGTGGCCTGTGATCCAGAGGCGCCCACAAGCTCGACGGCGGCGCCAACGGCGGCACCCTCATCTTCCCAGCCGCTCCCTGGCCTGTTTTGGCCTTAGGTAGCCCTAAACCCTAGACCCTAAACCCTAAACCCTTGAGGGCTTCTTTCGCTTCATTTTAAGGTTTGTCGGGGGTCATCGGTCTTTCGGGTTTGAGGATTTTAGGAGTTTAGGGTTCCTGGCTTTAGGTTTTGTATGTTGTGTTTAAGGCTTGGGGTTGTTGAGGGGGGCTTTGAGGATTTCCAGGAGCTTAGCGCTTTAGAGGTGTAGGCCTGGCATGCTAGCGTTCAGGTCTGGAGGTTTGCCTGCCCTCGCAGGATAGAGCCGACAGTCTCAGGTGTAGGGTTTAGGGTTTAGGGTTTAGGGTTTAGGGTTTAGGGTTTAGGGTTTAGGGCCTGGAAAAGGCACGGAAAACCCACAAAGCTTGCACGACTCAGCTGAGCAGAATGCCGTGTGTCCTTTCATGCGACACCCTCAGCCCTCAGCCCTACAATATCCTACACCGCTGTGTTGCCACTGCGAAACCTTATCTGCCCTATACCCTACACCCCTAAACCCTATACGTACCCTAAACCCGATATACCCTATATCCTCAAAGCCCTCAACCCTAGAATCCCTAAACCCTAAACCCTAAACCGAAATCCCTAAACCCTAAAGATCCTCCTACCCGAGGTCTACAGCCTGCCGTGACGTGGAGGGCTGGGCAGACCTAGGCGACTTCACCTGCTCCGAGCCTCGTCAGCTCAGGGTCTTTTGGGGTCCTTAACATGAACCGCTGCTAAGATGTTTATATTATATTATAGTATACTATATTATGTCATATAATGTATTATATTATACTATACTAAATTATACATTATGTATATGTATATATATATATATATCTTTATTTATGTATATATTTATAATATTGTTATGATATTGAAAATTGTATTCCAAATACTATAATGTTATGATATTTCATTATGCTGCAAATGTATGTATATTTCGAAAAACACATACAACTGAATTTAGGAAGCGTGGGCTCTCTGGGGAGTCTTCATTTCTTACTACCCCCATCCAGCACTTGCAGCTCATGTCGGTGCACGTATATCTTGCTCTCATGTACCCGAAGTACGCGGGCTCGGGTAGTGAGCAAACGCCCAAGCCCTTCAAAGCCTAACCCTAGTGTAGTTCTGGGAACAGCAGTACTGGAATCTGTGCAGGTAGTGACCAGGTAGTCACTGGGTGTTGTGGGTTGAGATCTTGGGTTTAGGTTTCTGTTCCTGATGTCGAGGCCATGCCATCTCATCTAAATAGCCGTGCCTTGGATATTCGGACTTTTCCGGAGCCGAGCTTCAGCCCACACGCGTTTTTTTTAAGTTAAATATTCCTGAACCCTCGAACCCCATCCCCCCCCCCACCCCTTCAAAGAAACAACAATTCCTCAACAAACGCCCAACCCTCCGAAACGCACGTGAGGATTACTCCCAGCGCGGGTGCCTTGTCCGATGATGACTCCAGCCCTGACCAGCTGGATGCCTCCTATTGCAAACCCAAGCACAGGAATCCTAATCAATGTCACACCGCCGCACTCCCACCCGCCAACATGGGTCTACTTCTAGTATATTGGGGGCTTATAGTACAGAAGTGGTTAGCCCTTTACCAGGACCAGCCCCCAGAAAACGCCGACACAGCGAAGCCCGACACCCTGTAATCTTCAGGGTACCCCAAAAGCCCAAACAGGGGCCCCGGCTAACCCTGAACCCCCCAAACCCTGGAGAGTCGCCCAACTCGCAAGCCCTCAAAGTCTAACGGATACCCCCCCCCCCCCCCCCTGCCCCCCCACCAGACCTTGAAATGAGGGGTCGATCTACAGGGTCCTTCTTGAAGGTTCCTGTGGGCTCTTATGACACACGTGGGGTCATGTTGGGAACAGCCCCCGAATCCTAAACCCCAGACCACTTCTCAATCCGGAGGTGGTGCACGAGCACGGGTGGGCAGGGTCCGAACTGGGAAGAAGCACCCGGGCATCAGATGGTCTTTTTAGGGTTTCGGGCTGTTGGTAGATGATCGAGAGATACCTATTCCCCAAAGCAACTGTATGTTCCCCAGCAGATCCCTATTCCCAAAAGCAACCCTATGTTCCCCAGCAGGGTTAGGGGGTTCGGGTGGGTAGAAGACTGTGTAACCAAGTTTGCGGGGTGTTTCTGTAGGGTTTGCCGTAATTTCAGGGGCGTTCGGATATCGGGTTCCTGAGATACGGGGATCTCTTCGTTAGATGTTCCCCTCTTAGGGCAACCGTTTACTGGACGAGCATTACTCGGAGTTCATGGTGCTGGTAAGTAGGGGGGTGTATGTACCCTAAACAATGTTATAGCCATCTTAAGATACTTGTAACCCGCTTCATATATATATATATATATGGATGAACCTCCAAGTAGTGGAGCTGCAAATGTCGCTCGCAAGCGGGTATGTGAGAAATCAGCCTAAGCTTATTGGAGGGTGAATTTGTAGGGCTTTGGCCCTAAACCCCGAAACCCCAAACCCTAAAGCGTAAACCCTAAGCCCTGCTGAGAGAAGCCGCAAAGTAGCCCTCAAGAGCGAAACCCTAAGCCCTAAACCAACTCAGGCATGGGGGCCTCTTGCAGAATACTGGCACATGGGCTACGCCGCGCCAGAGGCTTGCTGTGCAACTTTGCCGCTTCAGCAACGCGTTTCGGGCTTAGGGTTTCGGGTTTATAGGGTTTAGGGTTTAGGGCTTAGGGTTCAGGGACTTCAAGCATTACACGCTTTAAATGTGTGAAGTTCGCTTCAATGTATTGGGTTGTATATCAGCAAAGTGTGTTGAAGTCCATGGCTACCCTCGGTTACACCACTCTAAACCCTGTAAACCCTATGAACCCTTTGAACCCCATAAGCCCTATAAACCCTACCAACCCTATAAACCCTACCCAAATTGCGCGAGGTCTGCGGCGGTGGCCAGGTGCAGTCAGTCGACGGCGCTTGGCAAGTCCTGTGCCGGCCTGAGGAGTTGAGATGGGCTTAAGGGTTTAGGGCTACAGGGATACAGGGGTTTAGGGTTTAGGGGTTTAGGGTTTAGGGTTTAGGGTCTAGGGTTTAGGGTTTAGGGCTACAGGGGTTTAGGGCTACATGGGTTTAGGGCTTCGGGGTTTTGTTCGGGGCTTGACGAGGGTAGTAAAGGGGTTGAGGGGTTGAGGGCGGGTTGAGGGTACAGGGTACAGGGGTTTGGGGGTTTAGGGTTTAGGGTTTGGGGCTAATGGGCGTTAACTTTAGGGGTGAAAGGTTTCCACAAGCCTGGGGGGTCGGCCTGGTCGCTGCCCCAGGCATAGTAGTGGTCCGAACTAGGCCAAGAACCCCTAAACCCCAAAACCTTTCATCTCAGAAAGCAGAGTAAACCCGCAACTGGGCGGACCCCCAAGGCCCCAACCACCCACAATAATATGCAAGCCCAAAAAAAGGAAGCAACAAAAGCCCACCTTCAAGCTTGGACTGAGGCGCGGCACCTGCTCAATTGTGGGGAACTGCATCCAGTCCCCAAACTATCCGGCCAACTACAGAACCTCGGGTTGATCTGCAGTTGAGGGGGTTCAGGGTTTGGCGTTAAAGGTTGTTTTGGATGCCAGGGGTGTTGGGGTGTTCGGGTTTGGGTGTCCGGGGGGTGTTGAGGGATTTAGACGTTTTCTTTGTTTTTGGTGGGGCTTTTTGTTGCTTCTTCGAGTTGCTTGTGGTGTGTTTTTGTGTTTTCCGTGTAGGGGGTTTCTGGTGCAGGGTTTATGTTTTGACAGCTGGTCGCGTTTAGTCAAGGGTGCCCGACCATAGAGCCTCGCTATCGCCCAGGCGGCAATGAGCGCTGCACGATCGTCACGAACAGCAGCCTCATGACGCCCCTCGAGATGGTGGACTTCTCCACAGAGCGCTTCTATGATGTCCTGACCATCAACAACATGCAGTTCAGCGCCTCGGCTGGCTTCTCTGTTTATTGTGAGTCCCTAGCCCAAACATCTCCACTTGATGACAGCTGCCCCGATGGAAACATCATGGCAGAGGGGTGCCAACCTTTTGCTGTAGTCTCGAGAGGAGGGGGACGGCGGGGGGGGTGGAGTGATTTTTGGGCTGCTTTAAGAGCTGCTTCCATGGGTTAGTGCTTGGACTTGGGCTTAGGGCTCGTGCGGTTAGGGCTTCCGGGTCTTGAGAGGTTCTGACCTCGGACTCTCTCCTGTCTTAAGCAAGGGTGCTTGCAAATGGCTGTTCTGTGGCTTTTGCTTTGAATCCGAAAAAGTCAGAGCACCGGATAGAGATGCGCTGTCGTGAAACCCACCCGATGTGCCAAAAGGCGATGCTCAGAGCTCCTGGAATTCAGGATTTGCTTTCTAAACAGGATTCAGGGCCTCTGGGGTATAGGGTTCAGGACTGAAGGTCATTCATTATCCTTCGGCCTCCTGAGAGCCTACGGAACGGAAACACCATTCTTGATACTCTGGTTCTCGCTGCGACTAGGAACCAATGTTCGTCTTATGGTCATTGTTACACAGATGAGGGCTCACGAAAATCAGGCACCCCTAAAAAGACCCCCAAATAGTAGAATTCCCCTTCAATAAAAACCCCCCGATAACGTACCCCTCATTTCGGAAACCCCCCATCTTTCTGTTGACACGACCTACTCGAGTTGTTGAGGCGGCCAGCGCAAGCCCTCCGGCAACTTGGCCACGATCGGGTGGAGCGGTGGAAGCTGTCTAAGGTCACCCTAACACCTGTAGGTACTCGTAGCAAGCACGAGAGAAGTAGACCATAGGGATGGAAACCATAGGGATGGAAACAAGCGGACAACGTCGTTCCTTAAAATAGCAAGAAATTGGTGAAGGCCAGGGATTTAATCCTAGGGTTCAAAAAGGTGTAGGGTTAGTTCGCCCATCATCTCTGGATTTGGTTTTCCCGGTATTGTGGAGCCAGCGGATGTTTGATTTGAACCTTTTGTCCTTGGATGCTGAAGCCCGGACGTGTGCGCAAAGGGGGCCCCCAATTGCGAACAAACCTCTCTTGCCTTTGGCGAAGGCATCACGCCCCGGGGTACTATAGCTTGGAAGTCGGACGAAGACATCCAGGGCAAAGGTGCGTAATTTAGGGGCAGAAGGTGTGGAATTCGGTTTTCGGAAATCTCTTTGAGTCATGTGTGACATCTACAGCCGGTGGAGGGTGTGCGGAGTGCGGGTGTCGGGTTGATTCGTGGAAGGCACAATCCGCAACATGGGTGTTTAGGGGCCTTAGGCGTGTTCAGGTTTGCACCCTGAGCAGCTTAGAGGCTCTGGATTCAGAGGCTTCAAGCCGTGACATCCTGTCATGCCGCTAGGCTCTGTTGAACACGAAGCCCTGCCCTCATCATGATACGTAGACCGAACCGGCCTGGATCATCTAGAAGCATCTCCGGTAAGAAGGCCCGGGTCATGGAAGCTCCCAGCAAGACAACAAGCCAAACCCAAAGGGGGACCGACGCCCCCAAAACCCTAGCCCCAAGACCCTAAACCCAAAACCCGCAAGAAGTCTCAACCGCCTTCGGGCCTCGGAGCCTAAGTCCCATCAAGGGTTCCCCTAAACCCTAAACCCCTAAACCCGAACCCCTAAACCCCTAAACCCCTAAACCCTAGGCCCTCAAATTCTAGATTCTGCATCCTGTGGACAGGCTGGAAGCTCTGCCTCGGGCCCAAGCCCTCCGCGCCCACAGGCTTGAGGGGCTTTTCTCTCTTTCACCCGGCACATGGGTGTAGGGAGGGTTGGGGGTTTAGGGTTTAGGGTTTAGGGTTGAGGGTGTGGGTATCTGCGACAATCAGGGGTTGGGCAAGTTCCTGCGAGGAGGGCCATCGTTTTGGGGGGGGAATTTTGGGGGGTGACCTGTACTTTGGGGGACCGATCTGCTGCATTGAAGTGGGGGTCTATGGCCCTAAACGCCCGGAACCCTGAAGAATCGAAGTCCTCAATGGCAGCGCACATCATGAAACGAGAATGCAAGGTTCGCCAGCACCAGTCTGTACGCGGGGTCTGTCAAAATGAAGGCACCTATCTTGGAGGGGACCTTGCACATGGGATGCTAGTACTTGGGGGTATGTAAAGGGGAAGTAGCCACCTTCTGCCATGGCTGGCTCGGGTCCAGAACCTCCTTTACACCTGCTGCACCCCTGAAGCAAGAACCCAGAACGCTCCCCCAAACCCAAAAACCCAAAAACCCAAAATCCCAAAACCCTAAACCCTAAACCCTAAACCCCAAACCCTATACCCTAAACCCTAAACCCAATGCTGGTGGGAGGTGGTGGCATCTTCTCCATCTTAGAGGGCCCTTGCACGAGTCTGGTCAGCACTTCTCATGTCTCGACTCGAGCCATGGCCATGGTAGAAGGCCGACAATTGCCACAAGAAAAGGGCCAGTTCTCTATGTATGGTGGCCTGATTCTGGGGTGGGGGCTTAAACCCCTACTCGGTTGGATTCGGGTATTCCTTGCCCGGGCTTCGGGGCCTTGAGGGACTTCGGGATGAGTTGAGGTGTTCAAGAGCCCTCTCTGCAAAGCACAGAAGGAACTTTTACCAATGAGCCCCAAACCTGCAGAACCCTCGAGTGCATGGGGGGCTATGCTAAGACATCCCCCAGTTTGGGATTCAGAAGTTCTTCCACTTGGAACCCTAAACTAAACCTCGACAAAACACCCTAAACCCCCGTGATCGTCCCTGGGCTGGCTGCAAGGATTGATGCAGAGGGATGCGCGCTGTCTCCGATGCTGCGCTGCCTTTGGGGGTGATAGGGCTGATAGGATTTCTGGGTTTGGAGCTGATTGGGTTCAGGGCTTAGGGTTTCGGGTTTAGAGCTGATAGGGATTGCAGGGTCCCAAACATACCGATGCCACAATCCGACAGGTGCCAGGAAGTTCTAGCGCTGCTTTGTTTCTTGTATCCATGGGGTGAGGCTCCTGTATGAGCAGATATGAGGGAAGATACCTCGTTCGTTCCTAGGCGACTTCTGGTCTCTGGACATCACAGCGTGCCTGAAATTTACACACTACACCCTGAACCCCTAAACCCCAAACCCCAAACCCTAAACCCTAAACCCGAAAACCCTGAGCCCCCAAAACGGCCCGATCCACTTGTTTCTTCCTGGCCTACTCGAGTTGCGCCTGCCACACCACGGGGCCACCACTCGGAGAGTCGAGCCCTCCCCGCCACCTTCTGACCCAATGCATGGGCACCTGACAACATGGCGAGTTCGCGAAATGATGGTTTCTTTTTGGGGCTACGATTCTGAAGCGGCCCCTTTCATATGTAGGGTACCCAAAAAGGGACCCCCCCACCCCCCCCCCCCCCTATTGCATAAGCGAGCATAAGAGCACATCATGGCTTCGAAATGCAGCGTTCCGGTCTTCCCTTCCCTAACCGATCGAAAAAGGCAGCGCCATCCGTCGTGTCAGGAACTATCCCAGCACCTACAACCCTCTGCAAGGATGTATCATCCAAGCACCTTGGCAGCCGTCTAGGGTGTAGGGTTGGGTACCTAGAATCTTAGGGATCCTCCGTAGGCTCCAAAAAACTTGCATGCTTGGGGCCTTGGGGCCAATATAGGTATATGTGCAACATAGCTGAGAGTCGACTTGTAGTCTTAGAAGGATAGCTCCCCGAGTCCTAGACCCTCAGCCCGCCACCTGCAACCTCAACTGGTTTCTGGGAAGGGGCCTCAGGACAGTGGGCATTTTCAGGGTTTAGGGATGCTATGCAAATTGCCCCTGAGAACTACCAGAAGCCAGTGTGGGTAGTGGCGTTAGTGTGGCTGATGTGTACGCTCGGGTTTTGAGGGCATAGGATTTGGGCTCATAGGTCACTTGTGAGGTGTTTATGTCCCTTAACACCCAGAGTTTGGTTTAGGGTTTAGGGCCCAGGGTGCTCTTTGCCCACAATTATGTTCGATTCATGTTCAGCTGTGGACTCTGGCCACGGGCTGTAAGTCCCAAATCCAGGTCTACAACCCGGGGAACAAGACCATCGCGGCGAAGGACTTTGTTACGGAAGCCAGCTACGATGCGCCCCGCGCGCATGAACGGGTATGTCATGTCAGGCAATGGCGGCCTTTAAGAACCCCTCACCAAGCCTCACAATCCTTAATGTCGGAAGCCCCTAAACTGGTATCACGATTTTTGGAACATACATATGCTGACCCAAAACCCTCAACCCTAAAAGTTTGTTTTGGTTGTGCTCTCAGTAGATGAGCCAGGAAAGCAGTTACCCTCATGGTCAAGTAGCATCGGCAAAGTAGTAGCAACGACTGATAACTCACCCTTGTCAACCTATTGTGGTCATTGGTCTACACATTATAAGGTATTGAAAAGTGCGTATTAGTTGTGTTCCATCCCCGCATGGTGTTTGTTGCATGTTGCCAAAGCCCAGGTACTCTGGGTGAATGGACGGAGATATTCCGGTGCTCAGCTTAAAGAATGTCTGCAGCGGATAGATGCTGAATGTTAATTCTTGGTTTAAGGTTTGAGGTTTGAGGCTTTAGGGCTTCGGTTTTCGACCACAATCCGCATTCAGGATGTCGTCCCCTGTAGCCCCCCCTTGTTCGAGAAGCCGATCTACCCTTAAACAAGTCGAAGGCTCCTGAAACATTGGGCCCTAAACCCTGTCCTTGTTTGTGTAGCTTAACCCTGAATCCGAAAGCCCAAACCCGGCCGCGGCCACCTTGGGTCGGGCAAGCTTATCAGAAACCTGAACCCTACCCCCTAAACATGCACCCACCGACGTTCCTGAGAATCTTCAGCGACTTGAAGGTTTTGGGGTTTAGGGGCTCCCAGCATCCCTAGACACTGAACAGATCTCTCGAGCTATTATGCCCGCAGTCGGGTGAAGGTCCCCTCTCCTGAAATACCTTGAATCATCAAGCCCTGAAGACAAGAATATTACGCATGGCTGAGGCTCCAGCGGGCCGGATGGAGTGGTCCCAACAGGCCGACTTGTCTTACCAGCGTCTCAGGCAGTTCTGCAGCTACGTCTTTGAGTTTTGAGACCCGTAATCTTACTTCGGATACCTCGAAGACGCCCCTGTGTATGAACATATTTAGTATGTAGTCGAGGTCTTTCTGGAACATTCTCTGGACCCAGAAAGGGTAGCTTGTATTCAAATTTCACGGCCGGTCCAAAAGTTGACCGCACACTTAATGGTCTAGGGTGGGTGATACGTGCCCGGCAGGTTTTAATAAGTCGCTATCTTTGCAGCTCAACATGGGATGGATGGGTGTCCTGAAAAGTCAAGAGGAAGAAGTGTGACACGGTGCTACGCAAATCGAAGAGTCAATGATCAAGAGTACTACTGCACATCAAAGATGTACTAGATGTTGGTTTCGAGCATCAAAGCCGAACACAGCTTCGCTGATGAGATAGCTTGCAAATCTAGTGTTCCCTAAGCCTAAGCCCGAACCCCTCAACCCCAAACCTAAACCCTAATTCCCAAACCCTAAACCCTAAACCCTTGAGCCCTAAATCCTAAACCCTTGAGAACCACAAAGCTGCCCTGGCAGAACCCATGCAGTGGAGCTCCGACGAGGCCGGCCAAGATGGAGTGTCTTTGGGGTTTAGGGTTTAGGGTTTAGGGTTTAGGGTCCCGTGGTGTTTGTTTCGGGGTCTCATGCTCAGGCGTTTTGTATCGCGCGTGGAGGTTCAAGGGTAGGGATAAGTGGGCTTATAAGTGTGGCAAATGCAGCTATAACTTATCACTGTATTGAGGGCACTCGAAACAATACTTCGACTATTCATGAACTTCCAAGTAGCGTTCTGCCACGCCACAGACAGGGCTTCGGCAAGTGAGCTTGGGACTTCTCGGTTGGCTCTTGGTCAGGCTTGCTTGGAGGGTGAGTTTCATTTGCAGTAGGGTTTCTCGCCCATGTTTTAACTGCTTGCCGGTTTTCGGGATACTTGCCAACGTAGGTCATGGGAAGGTCGCTGGCTTGTTTTTTAAATTTTTTTGCGGCCTGGTGTAGAAATTTGTCCCTCGGCGTTTTCGGACGTAATTCCGCGACAGACTCAGCTTAACTGTGGCGATTTTACGTGAACTACTTTGCAGAGGAGGCACTTCCAGACATGCTATACCCTTGTACAGACATATGACATCAACATCGGACCCTTTCAAGAAGCCTCATGTGCAGTAGAAGGTAATAGTATAATCGTCTAGTCTCAAAGAGCCCCGCATGATACGATTGCATTATCATATTGCTATTTTGGCATTCCTATGTTCATGTGTTTATTCTCGCAGCATCGTATTCTTGTACTATCAGCTCTTGTATTCTGATGTTGTGACACATCACTACGGACTCGCATCCCCTTAAACCCCTAACAGTGATATCCAGGACGTCCAGGACAAGGGCTGGAAGCTCTGCGCCGGGGGGGTCGCTTGGCTTCCTTGGACCCGAAATCTCGGGTTTAGGGTTTAGGGTTCAGGGTTTAGGGGTTTAGGGTTTAGGGTTTAGGGTTCAGGGTTCAGGGGTTTAGGGTTTAGGGTTTAGGGTTTAGGGTTCACGGCTGAGGGTTTATATTCATCAACAAGTTTTAACAGGGTTTCGGGCTTACGTCCATCAACAGGGCTTCAGGCTTACGTTCATCAACCGGGTCTAAGGCTTAGGGTAGAGGGTTTATGTACATCAGTAGGGTTTAGGGTTGAGGGTTTATGCCTGTTTGCTTTGTTCTTCAGGGTTTATGTAGAATCAGACACCTCATGGCATCTCTGGCTGATGGGTTTAGGACTTAGCGTTTAGGGTTTAAGCTTAGGGTTAAGGGTAAAGCTGGCAAGCTTGGATTCTCGGGCTGCAGGGTTTACCTACGGCAACCTGGCAACGCGCTTGAAAAGTCCACTGAACAGTTTCGTGTTGGGCACGTCTGCCAGCTTAAACGGCACATGGTTCCTCTAGCTAGGACCGGTGGCGGTCACCCTAAACCCTAAACCCCAAAGCCCCTAAAACCCTGAACTCCTAGCACCTAAAGCCCTGAACCCCCAAACCCCAAACCCTAATAAACCCTAAACCCTAAACCCTAATAAACCCTAAACCCTAAAACCTATCAGCCGATCACCTCCGAGAGCCTGGAGGGTCCGGAAAGATCGTGCTTTGCATGGGCCCGAAGCCTGAGGCCCTGTTGGGTGACACTCCCAACGGATGTTGATGATGCTCGTCTTGTGGGGCCCCTTAGGGTTCAGGGTTTAGGGTTTAGGGTTTAGGGTTTAGGGTTTAGGGTTTCAGGACCAACTGACCTGGTGATGCTGATGATGCTCGTCGCCTGATCGGGTCCGAAGACGTCCCGCAACACAAAAACGAAATCGTTTCTTCTACGCCTGACATTCACAAGATTTGGTCATGCAGCCTTGGCACTCCGGATCCGGCGTAGAAAAGAAAAATGAACCCTAAACCCTACCTAGACCCTAAGCCCGAAGCCGAAAAAAAAACCTAAACCGCGACGTTTGTGTGTTGCGCTAAACACCTGGGTCTCCCCCAACACGTTCTGAAAAGAATGGCGGACCTCAACCTCGGCCAGGAGGGGCAGGTCCAGCTGGCACTCCAGCAGCACGGACAGGAGCGCCCACGCACACATGAAAAGGCATTCATTTCTGCGGCCGGGATGTGCCGCAGGAGGGCCGCCAAATGTATCCCGCTTTTGATTTGGCTGGGGAAGCCCTTATTTTTGCAAGCGCAAGGAGCCTCCAAGCCATGAAAGAAGCCCGGAGAACCTTACGCAACTCATGGCCGAGGCTTCGCGTGCTGTTGATCGTGAAAAAACACCCTTCCTGACCTCCTGGCGCGGGGTTTCAATGCATGCTGTGCTGAAGGACTTGGACGCAGAGTTCAAGGCCTCAGGTGTTGAAGGCACCATCCACAACACAGTCACCGTGTGTATTGGCACCATGTCGCATCTGCGAGCTGCTCGGTTCCGGTGCCAGGCCAGAGTCGGCGACCAGCGGGTGCTAGTGGCGATGCGCGCGGTTGACGTGGCTCTCTTCAACTTGGACGAGGGGTCGCCCCTTCTCGATGAGCTCGTGAAGCTACTGCACAAAAGCTTATCTTCACATGGCAGGACGCCAGCTTGAGCTTCACCGGCGTGCACCGCCAGCATTCCGAGGCATTGCTGAAGACGTCGTTGCAGGTGAGCTACTAGATAGCTATAAGTAAAGCGCCCGAGCAGGGGCGGGGCTACACGCGCTGGGCCCGGGAGCGCCTTATCGCCGGTGCGGTCTTCGCGGACCTTGGTCCGAAACGCATAGCCCCGTGTGTCGATATTCTGCGCTAGAGCTCGCTGCCTTTTTATGTACTGTTGCACAAGTGCCTGCCAAAAGCTTTTTGCGTGCGTGAGTTGCATTTCGCAATCCGCGGCATCTACCAGTGGAACCTGAAGTACTTCGCTTGCCAAGTCCTCAGTTTACGTCTCTGCAGAGATCGATGAGTGAATCTCGTCTGTGTGAGCTCATGCAGCTACATGTCCGTCTAGCGAGCACGTACTCAAGGCTGCGACTGAAAAAATCTAGGGGCCTAGACTGTTTCTGTACACTGCGTGGAATTTGTAAACAGCCAGCATGGTGCATTCACATTCTGTCTGATTGAGTGCTCTGAGCTTAATCCCATCCCCCTAATATTAAACGGGGGGCCACCCCCCCCTTTAAAAATTCGAAAACTGTTTTTGTAATTATGGGGTATTCTTATCGAAATGTCATAATTAATTCATTAGACTTCAGGCTTACTCAAGTAATCCACTTATGTAAGTGTGGTGTAAACTGAAAAAGAGAGAGAGAGAGAGAGAGAGAGAGAGAGAGAGAGAGAGAGAGAGAGAGAGCGAGCGAGCGAGCGAGCGAAAAGACTTTTAAAGGCGGGGTTGGTTTCGGCAGGTTTTTCTGGAAAGTGTTTTTATTATGAGGGGTGCATTGGGATTATCTGTGCTGGCTGTTCATCCCCCCTTCGCATCAGTAGGTATAGCTGAGATCCTGCGCTGCGTTCCGTTCGCGTGGGTTGGCTCTCTTTTTGGGTAGCAACGAGGTCGCCTCACGCGGCCCGCTACTTCCCGCAATCTTGCGAAAGCACTGGGCAGGCGCGGCCGCGTGTCGTTAATGCCAAGCAGAAGCACACGCCGAATGTTTGAAAATGTGAGGAGTTCTTTCGTGGCCCAAGCTGGGCCGGCCTCTCCGAAGTTTCTGCCGCAAGCTTGCGAGTACGGGCAAGCTCGAGGGAGGGTACTGCTGTTCCCCATTGGAAATTCAGTTGCAAACATAGGGGGGAATATTGTGGCGGACGCGCGTGGTGCAGATTCAGTGCTGACTGGGGTCTATGCAGGGACTACGCAGTAGCTAATGGTAGGTGTACGAACTAACACCTGGAGTTGTCGGTACCTCATCTAGATCTGTGACATCACATTTCCTGCTGGCCAGACCTCAACCCGGGCCATTTGGTGAACGCCGTGGAAGACAGCAGAAATCTTGTCTTCCTGGCGTGTTCGCCAAAGACGGGCTTTTTGGCGGAGGCGGCGTGGCCGGTGTCGAAAGGAGAAGCCGACATCTTCATTGAGTCGGCGATCAGCGCCTACCGCCAGGGCTTCGTGGGGCATCTGCAGTCCCTGGAGGCTTGACGCCCTAAAAGTCACCCTTTATCAAACTTGGATCTACAGCACGCAAGTGTCGAAAACTACACGGCGGCGGTTTTTAAGCCTGGGGAGGCCAGCAAGGTGGCACAAGCGATCTTTTTTTTACTTCTGCATGTTAACTTGCGCAGACAAGCCTGCAAGTTTTCCGGAAGTTTACGCAGGCAGGTGGGACGAAAGCTCTGCTTAAAACCTCTCCGAGTGATTCAAATACGTTGCCGCATTATATAGTGTACTATTCAGTAGATGGACCATGAGGTAGAAGCTGCTGCTGGACGCTATTAGTATCGGACGACACAAAAAAGACGAGGGGAAAAACCTCATTAACCAACTATTAAAGATTCGTGCATTCTTTGCCGCCGTTTTACTACTATTTCTGTGAGCGGGCATTAATTTTCTTATGGAGCCGGTGTATTATCATAAAGGTGAAGGGAGCGTCAAAGGGCCAATTGATAAAATTAGAAGGACACGCATGAATGTATTAATTTGCCCTGTAAGTGAACGAAACCAGCTATTTACTTTTAAAACTTTGTTCACGTGTTCGGCCATCTTTTGAGTCGCGAAAGTATTACATCAACTTAGCATCATTATTAGCATTATTCCCACGCTTGCAGGATTAGTAATACTAATACTGCACGGGACACAAGATTACCGTTAATATATTGAGCCGCTACTGAATGAATTCTAACGGGGCTCTTGTATGCCCTTCGTTCATACGCTTTTGACATTGGTATTCTCTTCGTTTGTGGATGTATTGCAGGAGAAAATACGAATACACGCATACAATATTCTGTTCGTCCGTTCGCTCACTGCTGTTCATTTGTTCGCTTGTATCGTTCGATCACGCGTAATTTAAGGGTCCCTAAAAACCCTGAACCCCGAAACCCTAGACCCTAAGCCCTAAACCCTAAGCCCTAGACCCTAAACTTAAGCCCTACACGCTATACCCTAGACCCTATAAGCCCCTTGTGACGCACTGAGGTGGGCCAGCCGGAGCGGCCGGGTCCGGGACCGATCGAGCAGGAGTACGGCGCGGGCCTTACAGTTGCCTGGGTTTAGGGTTCAGGGTTTAGGGTTTATAGGGTGTAGGCAGGTTCAAGGTTTATAGGGTTTTGGGTTTAGGTATATAGGGTTTAGGGCTTAGAACATCTTGTTGCGTCCGTCCTCACCTCTAGGAAGCCGCAACAGCAACAACCACGTACTGTGTTAACACGAGCAGGCCAGTAGAGTCTGGAGGGTTTAGGGTTTAGAGCTCCTGCTACTCGAAGGCCTCAACCCCAAGCCGTATAAGCCCCAAACACCTCTACCCGATACACCCCACCCCAAAAAAAAAACTTATAACCTTATAACATTATAAAGCCCCCAAAACCCTTTCAACCCTGTAAAACCCGGAGCCCTGCCGCACTCTCCTTATGCCCCCAAGATCGGAGTTTCCAATTCTGAGGCTACAACTTCGGCGACGGCGACGACGGCGATGAAGCCTGGAGCCCATGCATTCGAGAGAGCAAAGCCTGGGTTTGGGGAGTTTAGGTTTGAGGGTGTGGTGTGGGGTTTAGGGTTTCGGGTTGGGGGTTTAGGGGTTCACGAGCATCTCTGCCAAGCCCCTATAAACCCCAGGGTCAAGGTTTTGGGCTTGCCCAACAGCCGCGAGGTTCAGACCCTGAGGTGACCTGCTCCGTCGAGCAACGCCTTTGCTTAGACCTTAAGCTGTAAAACCCTAATCCCGAAGCCCTGGAGCGATCGGAAGCCTTTGAGCTTCGCGAATCCCAGCCCCAAAAAAGCCCACGCAGTCCACGGTCCTGGGGTCAAGGGTTGTTTTTTGGTTTAGGCTTTAGGGTTTCAAGGTTTTAGGGTTTTAGGGTTTTAGGGTCTTAGGGTGCTCAGGCAGGGCTTGAAGATTTTTGAGTTTCGGGCTTTTGGTTGAGGTTGAAACCGCCGGTTTCTTTTTTCACACCCAGCCTGAGCCCCCGGAACCCACTAGTTTTAAAGTCCCCAGCAGCATCGTTCCCTTAACATTATAGGGTTTATAGGATTTAGGTCTCACAGGGCTTCATGGCTTTTAAGAGCCTTGTTCTAGTTGAAACAACGGCCCTGTTCTCTGACCCTCGGCATTTTCGAGGAGAGTATGGGAACCATCAAACGCTTGTTTGTTTATATATGTATGTATATACATTGATATGTTTTTGTACATCGAAGTTTCGGCATTTGATTTTCCACGACAAGGAGGTACATGAAACGCTAGGTAGGTGGGGGACCCTAAACCTTTAAGCCCGAAGCCTCATGCACTGAGGGTGGTATGGGTGGCGACTATGACGCACCGCAGCTGGGAGCTGAAATGCCGCTGTTTAGGGTTTAGGGTTTCGGGTGTTGGGTTTAGGGTTTCGGGTTAAGGGTTTAGGGTTTAGAAGCCTCTAGGATGTCCCATGCTTCCATCAAGATTTGAGAAGTGTTCCGGGTTGAGGGCCCCGCGAAACCCAGAATCCATGAACCCCAAAGTATGAGGTTCCGGGGGCGCCTGAGGCTTGAGTGTTCTTATTCCCAAACCCAAACCTTAAACCTGTTGTCGGTTTTGACGGCTTGGGTGGTTTGCATGAGCGCCGGGGGGGGGGGGGGAGGGGGGGAGGGGGGGGGAGGGGGGGGAGGGGGGGGAGGGGGGGGAGGGGGGGGGAGGGGGGGGGAGGGGGAGGGGGGGGGAGGGAGGATGTCTGTTGAAATGCCGAGGTCGTCCACTGCACCGCCAACAGGCTTTTTACAAGGTGGGGACGGGACCGCTGGGGTGTGAGGGAAGCAGAACCCTTTAAGTCCTTGAACCTCTAAACCCTCTAGGCCGAAAATACTGAGCGTAAGCTTGACGTCTTCAACCCTATGGAAGCCCTAAACTCTACCGCTCTAACCCTGAGGATTTCTGCGTCAGTTGCTGTTCTGGTCTTTTGGATCATCCGCCTTGCCTTGGGGTTTAGGGCGCGCAGTGTATTCTCAGTGCGTATTCTTCGGATGCGAGTCTTGAATCGTTTTGTTCAATCGATACCTATTGCGATTCTTCTTATTTGTCAGTGTTGTTGTCCTAGTTGTGCCTCGATACTTGACACAGCAACCCGGCCCCTTCTCCCCCCCCACCCCGGGTTGTAGCCACCTGTAACTGACAGACCCCCAAACCCCGCCACCCCGCTCATGTGGCGGACTATAAGTTAAGGGGCTTGAGTCAATCCCCCTTCAACCCCCCAAATGTTCAAACCCCAAGAGTCCTAAGTCCTGGAGCCCACAAACCTGGTTCTACGGACTCCTGCCGCCCTGCGAGCCTCCCAGAGAGCTCTTTAGGGTTTTCTTATAGGGTTTCGGGTTTAGGGGTTTAGGGTTTAGTGTTCGAAGCACAAAATCCAAAGACGAAGAGTGTGTGGCCTTGTCGCAGGCACTCCTCAGGACCCGGCCCGGGCCTCGGCGGTTTGGGTAAATTGTTTTTGATTGGTCGGGGCTACAGTAGGGGTTGGAGGGTTTAGGGTTCAGGTTTAGGGTTCAGGTAGAGGGTTCAGGTAGAGGGACCCTAAACCTCAAACCCTAAACCCTAAACACGAAATCCCCAAGTATGGCTGTTAGGGTTTGAGCTTGCGGATTTGAGGAGTGGCCTGTCAACTATGGTGCAAACTACCCAAGATTCATCCTACCTAGCCCTCTAGGAAGCCTTGCAGCCTTCCACGCCGGAAGCCCCAAGCACTAAACCCGAATCCACCTGTCGCTCCATCAGGACTCCGGGACGGAGGTGGCTTGGCGACGCACACGGAGTTTTTTTAGGGCTCTAGAGAGTGTGGGCTTCAGGAAGCATGATGTTTGGGCGGCTCTAGCCCTGGACCCGAAAAAAACCCGCTTTGATGGGGAGCCCCCTTATTTCCGGGACGCGAAGATAGAACGGCACCTGCAAACCATCCTCTCTCCACCCCTCCGCCCCCTCCCGTGGAGCTGGTTTTTGAGTTCTTTCACCATGACCCAGCTTGATGACTCAATGGTAGTTGGGGGGGGGGGTGTTGATCTAAAAACAGCCCTTGTGCGTCTCCCTTCTCGTATCCGTCCTCTAGCCAAACTCGCCCCATTAAAGTCCATGTAACACCTTCCGTTCGTTTGAGATTTGCGACAAGTTGGTTTCCGGGTTACTGGAGAAGCCGAACACACTATACCCTGAACACAGAATCTTTGAAAAGCGTCCTTTGGCATGGGCAAGGTGACTCAGTTGTAGGGCACTCATCAAGGCTTTCTTGCTGTCATTGCATCCATGCAACCCTAAACCCGTAAAATCCCAAATTCTATCAAACTCTCTCGCCTAAGCCCTAAGCCCTCAACCCTATAAACCCAAACCATGGCAGGACCCAGAGCAGGAAATCAACGGTTCCCTGCCCTTCGGAAAGATCCTCTTGGCTACTGCGGCCCTCTGCTTGACCGGAGCTGCTTGGACGCCGGTTTCGAAGAATCTGTGTCCCCCTAGATGCTAGTAGGTCTACCATCAAACAGCCCCAACACTGGACGCCTAGTTTTCGCACCCCCCCCCCCCCCCCCCTCTCGGGCATTGCCAAAAATTGTCGGCTTCAGTGTTGTGGGGCGACTGGGCCTCGGGCTGTAGGGATTAGGTCCTGTCGGGCCTTGGGTTTTAGGGTTTGAATTTGAGGGGCTGCTTGCAGATAGAGGTAGCATACAACCTGGCCTTGAGGAGTTCTATGTAGAGTGAAATAGTTTCCTAATGTTGTGGGACCCAAAGGCCGGTGACAAGCAGCTTGACTTGTGAATGCTTGGACTTGAGATGCTGAACCCCTAAACCCTAAACCCTAAACCCTAAACCCTAAACCCTAAACCCTAAACCCTAAACCCTAAACCTGAATCCTAAAGCTTCTCAACTCTGAAAGGCCGAGACCTAAAGGCCGAGAGGGAGCCTGGAGCCTCATGTCCTTGTGAGGACCCAAACTTAGCCCTAAACTCATTGGGTTTAGGGTTGAGGGTTTAGGGCTCTGAAGTTTGATGGCCCAAACTTAGCCCTAACTTGTTAGGGTTTTAGGGTTGAGGGTTTACAGTAGGGCTCTGAAGCCTGACGGTGGTGGTCCGGTTCCTCAGGTCCTGTGCTTGCGATGTCGGCCGCTTGTCTTATTTCTTGTGCGGCGTGTAGGACTATTGGATTAGAATTGAAGGGTTCGAGTCCTTGGGGTGGTAGCTGCTTGGTTCGTTGTTTTGTGGATAGCTCAGCAAGCATCTTGTACCCACTGAGATCATACGATGCCTGGGACTGTGAGGGGGCCGGCGTCAATGTGAGTTGTTGTGATCGCCAAGCTCCTGAGAACTGTGCGCACTCCCGTTTTTTGTCAACAAGCTTTCGATTTTCAACAAGGCCCCGTGTCAGCCAAGGAGAAATCAAGACAAAGGTGGCCTGCCAGCAATTCTGCGCGTGTATGGGCCCGTGGCGGGCCTTTGTGCTTGTTCTTCGGTTCCGCGCCAACCCAAAAAACATAAATGATGCCTTTAGCTTTTTTTTGCCTAGAGGTCCAGCTGCGGAAAAAACTAATCGTTCCGCTAGCATTGTGTAGGTAGTTGGTAGACGACCGAGCGTTGAAGTCTGACCTCCGAAGCCTTCAAGGCCTCAACTCAACCGCACCCCTCGCGGCTGAGGTGCCGGTGGGTACTCCACGAGCTACGGGCGGAGTTATGCCATGGACAATCTGTGAATTTCGATCCCCCCCCCCCCAATACATACATATATACATTTATATATGTATGTATGTATGTACATATATATATATATACAGCGACAGAGGAGTTGGGTGTTTGCGTCCCAGGGTTGGTCTTGGGGTCGAGGTTCGTGACCGAGCCGACGCTATCCGACGCTCAAGGCGTTTTATGGCGGAGTAGATAGGACAGCAAGGGCACAGGCCGCAGTGCAGGCCACATGTGCCTCGCCTTCGGAATCCACGCAGCTGTGCCCCAAAGTGCTGTGAAACGTGTGGCATGCAGCCCTCAACCCCCGGCAGCAAAGCCCCCCAATATGCGACGGGAGACTAGGGATGGCCCTCGCTGTATTCCCCAGGCTTCACTATAGGGTTTAAGGTTTGGGGTAGTATTCCTGCCGGATCCCTCTCAATGGCAACCTGCATCCAGCTTATGGGCAATCATCAGTTATTTTCGAAAGTTTGTTGCGTCCGAGTCTTCCACCCAAGACTAGACCTTAGGCAGTAGATGTCTTAGCTTCCCCTGGTGTGAAACCTCTTCAGACCATCTACACCCCAAAATTCCTCAGTCTTAGGCTTACCCGATGCGCCCGAGAAAGCCCATGGAGATGACATCAGGAATGTACATGGGGCTTGCAGATGGGGCTTGAATTGAAGGCTTTGCTGGATTGGCATTGGGTTTGCCTTTTGGGGCTTAAGGGTGTACTTAGTTTTGAGTCTTGTGTCGGGCTAGGCGGGGCTTCGGGTTTCAATGGCTGCAAGCTCTGACGGGGCTCTAAACCCGAAATGCCAGGCACTGAGCCGCAGCGATTTGGGCTTAAGTTTGCTGAGGACTTCGGGTGAAGGTTTAGGGTCGTTAGTTATAAAGACGCTGTTTGCCTGTTTGGTGTTCAGGCTCTCCGCCTAATTCGTTCCTGATGCTTCGGCTCCTAAACTCCTAAACTTGAAGCCTTACATCAAATCCTGAACTCTAGACTCCACACCTTCAAAAAGCGCAAGCCCTCTCACCCCCTCCCGCTCCCCCCTCTCCCCTGCACGCTTTGGGTTTCAGCCCGCGCGCTTTGCTGATGCTGCATGGCGTGCGGGTGCAGCAGCTGCCGGGCAAGGGCCAAGGACCCGCGCGAGGTCAATAAATTGGCATGGCAGGGCTCACCCCCAAAACCCTCAGCAATAAAGGGGTTTGAAGGGTTTATGGGGTAGTATGGGGTATTATGGGGTATTATAGGGTATTATAGGGTAGTATAGGGTAGTATAGGGTATTACAGAGTTTATAGGGTTTAGGGACGCTGAACCGTAAACCCTACACCCATACGGCACGAAATCTCCAACCCATGATCCTTGGACCCCTTTGCGCGCGAGCAACCTTGTGAGATTTCCAGGCCCTTAAGGGGTACTTTCATATCTTCCCTGATTGGGCTTAAGGACCTCTTTTTTTCAGGGTATTTTTCGTTTTTTTTCTCTTGTTGGGTTTAAGAGAGGAATCCCTTTTCAGAGGCTTAAAACGCCCCTTCGCAGTGACCACAGCGACCTTCAGTGAGCAGATCCTGGTTTCAGTCCATATTCCGGGTGGGCCGTGAGGACTTTGGGGGCTTAGTTGGGGCTCAAGGCCCTAAATCCTAAACCCTAAACCCTAAACCCCAAACCCTAAACCCCAAACCCTAAACCCTAAACCCAAGGATGCAAGTTTAAGAAGATGAAGGGAACCTTGGATTAAGCGCGTGAAGGGCTGGTGGCTTTGCAAGATCTGCCGGCCAACACCCTGGTCCTCGGGGAAGACTGCCTTCTGCCACCAGGTTGAATGGGTTTGGGGTTTAGGGTTAGAGTCTAGGATTTTAGGGTTCAGGGTTCGGTTCAACCGTAAGGCTTGGTAGGCACTGTAGCACCCTGAGACGCCTTATGGAAGCCTTGCGAGACTCAGACAAGAGCTGGTGCGACTCCCAAACCCAACTCTGCAAAGGCTACCCTCCACATGGCCATCAGTTTCATGCCGGACCCCCCCCCCCCCCCCTCTCCAACCCCAGAGGGCCGCAAATGAAGAGCAACTCCCCCGAGCTCTTGATGACCATAGGCCATAACCCCTAACCCTAAACCCTAAGCCCCTTTAACCCAAGAGTGCTTCGGAAGCCCAGGTCCGTGTCGCACCTCGAAGCTCTCCGGGGGCGTACGGCCGAGGCTTACCCGGCACTCTCCAGGCGCGTATGATTTAGGGATTAGGGTTTAGGGTTTGAGGGCTTAGGGGTTTGGGGGTTTGGGGGTTTAGCGCTTAGGGGTTGTAGGGTTCAGTGCTTTGGGCTTCGCTTCGGGTTGAAGAGGTTTAGGGTTTCGGGTTTCGGGGCAGAGTTGTTCGTTGTTCGCTTCACGGTGGAGAGCTTACTGGGGGGATTTGTTGGTCGGAGTTGCTTGGAGTTTTTTTAGGTGTAGAGCCCAGGGCGATGTTATCCTGGTCCTGCCACCTTTGAAATCCTAGATCTTCAGCCCTAAACCCAGAAAGGGTCAGATATCTTTTGCCACCAAGAGGCTGAAACTCTACCCCGCATTTGTTTTTTTTTTTTTTTTTGGGGGGGGAGGCGGGTAAGGGTTTAGGGGTTGAGGTTCTGAAAGCTTAGGGTGGGCGTGGGTGCCGGTTTACAGGTGGGCAAGCCCTGATCTCGCAGCGCCCACAAACTCCAAGCTGTCAACCCTGAGCAGGGCTCTCATATACAGCCATGCTGCCCCTAACCCTATACCCTATACCCTATAAACCCTAAACCCTAAACCGCTCACAGATATCTAGGGTGGTCGTTTCAACTATGAGTTTTGGCCAAACATCCTAAGCCCCGAGGCACTCAGAGTCCGTCATGTATCTCAGAAGTACCCGGACGGTAAGTCAAGGCCATCGTAGCTAGCTCAGTTTGTTAAGGTTTAGGATTTTGAGCTTTTGGGGTTATACTGGCCTCTGGGGTGATTACGTGGAGTTTCAGGTGCTGTTACTGGCCCTCATCGCCAGGACGCTTCGCAGCGAAAGCATGCGCGCAGCTTGCCTGAGAGGGCTGGAAAGCTGATTAAGGCTGAGCCGAAGGTCGCTCATGGCCAAAAACGCTAAACCCTGAACCCTAAACCCTAAACCCTAAACCCTAAACCCATGTCAGGTGGGGTAGTTTCCCTTAGAAGGTACTCACCTGGGAAGCCTGGGAGCTCCCTTCCTGAACTTTCGGCCCCAGCTCCCGGGGTCAAGAATGCCCTGATGCCAAAAAGCCCGGTTCCTAAACCCCAAGCCACGGTTTAGGGTTTAGGGTTTAGGGTTTAGGGTTTATAAGGTCTCCTGTTGCGAATAGAGGATTCTGACGAGCTGACCATCTGTCGCAAAGTTTGGGATTGTAAGAACTGCGGCGTAGCCCCAAATCCTGAAATTTGGAGGCTACAAGCTAAGCTCTCCAGGGGCAACCATATACAAAATGGTACAGACAGAATGTAACGAATATGTATGTGTATATATGTATATATGTATATATATATATATATGCACACGTACAAATCTAAGCAAACATATAACAAAAAAGTTAAGTAAATGAATATCAACAAAGTAAATGAATATCAACAAATAAATGACTAAAATAAAAAAAGACATACATGTATATATATATATATATATGTAATTACGTAGCAACTAACTTGTAGTTTCTAAATTAAAGTTTGTTATGACAACATTGCATTTTAACATAGTATTATGAAATTAAACGAATATACGAAGTAAGTAAATAAATTTAATCAATAAATAAATAAACCAATAAATAAATAAGTGCATACATATACATATATATACACACAATACCCATACAGGCACGAGGGGGCGAGAAGGCTCGTGCAAGGCCTGCGAAGCCATTTGAGTTTCTGAAGCTTGCGCACGTGCCTCAGATCTGCATACTGGTTTACGGGCGCGCGGGCATACCTGAGAGAGCTGCCATGTGAAATCCAAGGCTCTGAATAGGCTTTGCGCCGAAAGTGCTGAGATCGTGCAGGCTTGCTGCGATGGGCCTCAGTGGCTCCGGGTTGAGGGGGTCAGGGTTTTTGGCATTTGGGCTTCAGGGTCTCAGGGCTTGGGGGGTCTGAGTGTAGGCTCCAGGGTTTGGGGGCTGATGTATTCGTCAACAAAGGGCGCCGGATTCAGGGCAGGTCGGTTCAGAAAATTCTGCGGATGGGTTGCGAAGCCAGCGCTTTGACCGTAAGCCCTCCGCCCATTAAGCTAGCGACCCTCAACCCTAAATCCCAGAAGCCGAAACAAGTGACCTAAGGCCTCCTGCCCTGACTCGGCATAGCCGAACGCTAAACCCCGAAAGCCCTTACGGAATCTCTTGCTGCCTGTGCAGAATCCAAGAAGGGTAAACATAAGCACAGTAAACTTAATAAACGGACGACCCAAAGCCCTAAACCCTAAACCCCTCCCTCTTTCCTTCGTGTTCGGAGGCCT